GGCAAGTTCTCGATACTATGTCTTTTGTATTGCTGTTTTTGCGTAATACACATAATAACCTAGTTGCCACCGTACCGACTGTCAGTACGAAAACGCGTTTTTATGCACTTTTTTTCGCGGAATCGCTGTTGCTAATATAAACAGTTATAAGGAAAGTGCTTGTTGCTAAACAAATAGATATACGCTTCAGACTCAGAAAAGTGAAATTTGCTTTATTTCCACGATTAGCATATAAAAATTGAACAAAAAATAAGCACTCTAGTTGCTTCGGCTGTGGAGTTGCGCCAAATCCTATGTGTACGTACATGAGAAACGAAAGCGGGGTGAAAGTTGTCTTCAATTTCCGTTTACCCAAACACGTTCAAAAAATGTTCAAAAGGTTTTCAGTCCTCTAAATTCTGTATTTCGAAGTTGCAAAATTGTCTGCGTCAAATTTCGCATGACTGTACTTGACACGCAGAGGGAGGTGAAGGCTCAATTTACTTTTACAAACACATCAATGGACGGTAAATAACGTCGTAAAAGTACCCTCAACAACTTCCGACTCAGCTTAATTCTCCAGTTGGCATGTTACCAGTTTAAAGTCTGACGTATAAGTATGTGCGGCAAGTTCCAGCATCATTCTACCACTGAGACGAATACGACCTTCGTACTACCAGGCCTCAAACTTAGCCTTTTTTTTTTCGGTAGAAAACACAGTTATCCTCAAAAAAGTTAACCATCTGCCACTTAACAGCATCGCATTATGTCAGCTTTCTGTCTGCATTATAATAACATTCACATGTTTGAAATGGAGAATGAAGAACCACATTCTGCAACGGTAAAGTAGCTAGGGAGCTTTCTAAGCACACAGTCCAAGTCGTTTTACATAACCTTATATTATTCAAATAATTTTATGCACTATCATTTTTGAGGATGATATATAAAAGGCACCAGCATCAGATAATTTACATTCAGGGCTTTCAACTCAGCCGGTTGAAAGGTTTGATCCAGATGGGTACAGTGCTCATCCAGCTGAGGACGGATCACACAGAATCGGAATTATGAATCCAGCTCGCAGTTGTCACAATAGCATCCTCTTTTTATTTGCAAAAGAAATTAGTACTGAACACTTACCCAATAGTGACCCATTTTTTGCACAGCCTATAGTACAATTCGGAATCGAGGGTGATGCCGGAGAATGAAAGTGTTCCGTGGATGTCCACCTCCTTCAAACATTGATCCAAATAGTTCAGTAAATTCTCGGATAAGCTATGGCAATCTGAATAAAAATTCCTCCGGCTAGTGCAAGATAAGTACCCTGCTATTATAAATTTTGAATTCCGCCTGACTCAGTAGTTGCTTAGACTCGTGTTTGCTGCAGATAATTTGCATCGTGCAAATTGCGTGACATAGTTTCTTTAGTTCCTTTACAGTTCCGTGCTCGGTTACAAAAGACAGTGCAGCCTGCGGTTAGATTTGAAAATCTATGCCCTTCTCTCCTAGTTATTACCTTCCGTCTCGAG